TGCGCTAGAAAGTAGTGTCTGAGCCTCCTCGCAGCGTTGACGAGGGCCAGAGCAACCTTTTCTATCTGTTGATACCTGCTCTCGGGGCCTTGTAAGGCTTTGCTCGTGAAGTAGACAGGTTTCTGCCCGTCAGGGGTCTCGCGGACAAGAGCTGCGCTGATGGCTTCGTTTGAAACTGCTAAGTATAGGTATAGTGGTTCGTCGTCATCTGGTCGAGACAACACGGGCGGTTGAGACAGGCTCTGCTTCAGATGGCGAAGTGCGTGTTCGCATTCCTCGGTCCATTCGAAGGCTGCTTCCTTTCGAAGGAGTTTGAAAAAGGGGAGGGCGTGTTGAGCGGACTTCGCGACGAAGCGTGATAGTGACGTCAACATGCCGTTCATGATCTGTATTGACTTCTTCGACGTTGGAGTCGGGAGGTCGGCGAATGCTCGACACTTGTCGGGGTTGGCTTCAATCCCTCGCTCTGTTAGATAGAATCCGAGGAATTTTCCTGCCTTAACCCCAAACGTGCACTTCTCGGGGTTGAACCTCATTTTGCACTGTCTTGCTTGGGCGAAGACTGTCTTGAGATGAGCTGCGTGATCGGTGTCTGCTCAAGATTTGACGATCATGTCGTCCATATATACCTCGAGCATGTCGCCGATCTGTTTGTTGAATACTTTGTTCATCATGCGTTGGTAAGTCGCGCCGGCGTTCTTCAGTCCGAAGGGCATTACATTGTAGTAATAGTTGCCCGAGCTGGTCATGAATGCCGTGCAGCGTTTGTCGCCCAGGGCCATTGGGATTTGATTGTATCCCGAGTAGGCGTCCATGAACGACAAAGTCTTGTAGCCGGCTGAATTGTCGACCAGCATGTCAATGTTAGGTAGAGGAAAAGCATCCTTCGGGCAAGCCCGGTTGAGGTCGGTATAGTCAACACACATTCTCCATTTTCCATTATTCTTTTTAACAAGTACAACATTTGACAGCCAGGTGGAGTACCGGGCTTCAGAAATAAAATTTGCCTCTAAGAGGTCTTTTACAGCTTTTTCAGCAGCCTCTGTTTTTTCTGGAGACTGCCTACGCCTACGTTGTACTACGGCCTTGGCGGCTGGATCAATGGCGAGGTGATGACAGGCGACCTCAGGGTCGAGTCCGGGCATCTCTGCAGCGCTCCAGGCGAAGAGATCAGCATTCTCGCGCAGACAGGCCTTGATTTGCTTCCTGGCCAAGTCGGGGAGGTCCTTGCCAATCTTCACTCCCTTGGTCGGGTCTGCTCCGAGGGGAACGAGTTCGAAATCGCCGTCCAGAATAGGTCGGAGGTGGATTTGCTCGCCGCTGGATGGCTCGTCTTGGTCGAAGCGGGCGTCGAGGGCTATGGAGTCGACCTTTGGTGGAGCCTTCTGAACTTCTACCTCGGGAGATGCTCTGTCGGGCTCTTGCTTTGTCTTCTTGATGGGTCTGGTGCTAGTACCCACGTCGACGGTATCCCGTCCTCTTGAAGCGGCGTTGAAGCACCTGCGGGCAGCGGCGAGGTCGCCCTGGATGGTGGCTACCCTCGCCCTTTTGGTATAGAACTTCATTTTTAGATGGACAGTTGAGGGGACCGCTGTCAGCTCCGCCAATGTCGGCCTCCCCAAGATGCAATTGTATAGGGACGGGCAGTCAATGACGAGGAAGCGGACCTTCACCTGTCTTGTAGCAGTTCCTTCCCCGAACGTCACGAGGAGCTCGACATATCCCCAAGGTTTGGAAGTCGAGCCGTTGAAGCCTTGAAGGTCCGAACCTATATACGGAGACAGATGTGAGTCATCCAGTTGCAAGGTCCGGAACAGCTGGGTGTACATCACGTCGACGGAACTCCCTTCGTCGACCAGGATGCGATGCACGTCAAAATTGGCCATCTTTGCCCTTATCAGCAAGGGGATGACTGCGTTCGGGGCTCCGCCGGGGAGCTCTTCTAAGTAGAAGGTGATGGGCTCTGATCTGCCCTTCACTATTTCGAAAGTCACAGTTTGTGGAGGAGCTGCGTCGACCAGTTCGTCCAACTTCCTCTTGGCTGAGTTGATGGTGAGGTCGTTGAACCCGCCCCCGTTGATGACCATGGCGGAGGGGAAGTATTCCCACCTGCTGTGTGTCGTCAGGGGCTCCTGTAGGAGCTCGGGAAGTTCGAAATCCTCGGGCCTGGATACCGAGAAGGCGGTCTGGATTGGCACCGACTCGTCAGATGGTCGGGCATCTTCTTCGGGCTCCTTTGCTTCGTGGGTGTCACGACGGGGAGCGTCGTTTCGCCTGTACTGTGCAAGCCTCCCTCCTTTGATGAGGGTTTCAATGGCGTCCTTCAGGTGGACGCAGTCCTCTGTCAAGTGACCATGACTCCTATGGTACTGACAGTATTTATTTTTGTCTACTCCTGGCTTGGCAGGAGCTGGTCGGGGACGCTTGACGCCACCGTCTTTAAAATCTGTGCTAGCACACTCCGCCAAAATACGCTCGCGGGAAGCCGTGAGCGGAGTGTACTCGGTGAAACGGCCCGAGGGGCCCCTTTGTTCCCAGACCTCCCGGGGTCGATCTTCCTTCCTTTTCTCTCCGGTCCGTCGGGGAGGAGGGTCTTGTCTCGAGCTGCTGCCATGATTGCGAGCCCTGGAGTCTCGTGCCCTGTTGGCAGCTTCTCTCTCCTCGTAGTCCATGTATGCCCGGGCTTTGTCGAGGAGAGCATCAAAAGTTGCAGGTGGTTCAATGCCCACAGCTTTTCTGAATTCTGTGCCGGGGAGGAGGCCCCTCTCCAGCAAGTACCTTTTCATATGGTCCGCGCAGGAGACCTGTATTGCTTCCCGGTTGAAGCGGTTGATGAATTCCCTCAAGGTCTCATCCTGTCTTTGGATGATGGCCTCGAGGGCCGCCTCGGTCTTCGGGTGGCGCCGAGAAGCTGTGAAGGAACTGATGAACTGGTTCTTCAGGTTCCGCCACGAGGTGATGGAGCCCGGGGCGAGTCCTTTGTACCAGTCCATGGCCGCCTTCCTGAGAGTTGTGGGGAAGAGACGGCACTTGATGGGCCCCCCGACATTATGATAGTGGAGCATGGCTTCGAACCCGTCAATGTGGTCGACTGGGTCCGCCACTCCATCATACTCCTTCAGGTGTGGGGGCTTCTCCATGCTCGGGGGAATAGGTGCGTCCATGATGGCCTGCGACAGGGGACCGCGGGGGTCGTCCTCGTCGCTCCTCTCCGGAGAAAGAGAAGGGGTCCTGTAGTTATGCCTGGCACGCTGGTCGTGCTGAGATTCCCTCGAGCGTGATGCTCGGTGGTTGAAGGTCACACGCCCGTCTCTGTTGTGCCTCCTGTCGTGCCTTGATGGGTCGCGACTGGGTTCTTCGGTAGGGATGACGGGATGTCTCTCATATTGGGGCCGCCTCTGCTTTGGTCGGGGAGAGGGGCTCCTAGAGTTCTCTCTGTAGTGTCTCCGCGGGGGAGTAGGGTGTCGAACTTCTTCGACCCGAGGAGGTGGAGATGGTGGCCTCTGATGCCTCCTCGGGGGTCGTCGATCATTTTCAAGTGCCCTTAGTCTTTCTCCTTGGGCGAATAGGAGATAATTTGTCTGGTTGATGGCCGCGAACAGTGCCTGAGTCGTGGCATCTGCCCCGGCAGGGACTTGGACTTCATAGAACCGAGCAGCTCGGCGATAGGCGAGAGCCTCCGGGTCGTCTTCGAGTGCTGGAGGGGTCGTCGAGGAAGACGCAGTGTTCCCGTCCCTGCGGGTGGAAGGTCCAGGGGCGGTTGTCGCAGGGGTGGCATTGTGGCCGGGATCACCGAGATTGTTGAGGTGTCCATTCTTGTCCGTGGGACCGTTGTTGGTGTCGGTGACGCGGACGTGCTGTTCTTCACGAGCTGGATCAGCCATGACAGGTAATTGAATTGAGCTTTGGTCTTTGGAATTGTTCGTTAGACGGGGAAGCTGTTCCCCCAGACGGCGCCACTGATCTGACCTGATCAGAAGGTTTGGACCGTCACGGCTGGCTCCGAGCAGAAAGCTTTTTGAACGAGGAGGGGGGGTACCTGCAAGGCACTCCGATGCTAAAGTCAGTGGGAGTACGAGCAGATAATAGAGTTGAGGTTAGAATGATGAATACCTGACCCTCTGGAAACAGAGGGTATTTATAGCCCCCAGCGCTGGGCCAAGGTTCCTTCATTGGGCCGGGCGGATTTGGCCCAATGGAGGAACTGCCAGGTTCTACGTGGGTAGTGGGGACCCGCACGTGGTCCCCTTCCTGGATGTGCTGCGTGAAGTGCGGGCGGACGGAGACGCGGTCTTTCCGGAATATCGTTGGGGGAACGGTGGACTGAGTCTGCCCTAGCCGGGTAGCTCGAGACCATGTCGAGCTGCGCTGCACGGTGCCGAGCTCGACGCCAGGACCTCGAGCTGGACAGCGGGTGTCGAGCTGGACGCCAGGACATAGAGCTGGACGACAAGGTGTCGAGCACGACTTCACCGCGTGGGGTTGGACATCGAGATGTCGAGGTGGACATCAGGGTGTCGGGCATGGATGTGACCCCCTTTGCCCAGTGTGGTCCTTAGTGAGTCCCTTTGGACTGGGCCTTAGTAATGCTTTTGGGCCTGTCGGGCCCAGTCCAGAACAGAATATAATTCAAAAGAAAAGAATTTTTTGAAATATAATAATAATAATAATAATAATAATAATAATAATAATTATTATTATTATTATTATTATTATTATTATTATTATTATTATTATTATTATTATTATTATTATTATTATTATTATTATATGTTTATAGTCCAATCCCTTTTGCAACAAAATTTAAAAATTCCAATCCATTTTGCCCCACAATTTTGTTTCTTTCTTTACAAAGACTGATATAATCTCTTTTTGGTATTATTCTACTACTAGTTTTAAAAAAATGTATCACAAATAGGAGTTCTTAGTTATTTATGATGTATCTACACAAATTGTAAAGACAAAGAAGATGACAGAACAAGTCACACTATGACGCGCATTCAATGCTGATTCATCTTGAGACCGACATCAGCGGCAGCAGTGGCGGGCCGGTGGCTTCTTTCAAAATCAACCCCAAGCGAGTACACTACATCTTCTCTACTCCATCCCGCACACAATAACTGCAACCCCAGAACACTCACGTGCTGCACACGCTTCTCCTTTTCTTCATCACCCTCATTCATCATCTCGAGTATCTCTTCCTCTTTCCACCCACCTTCCCTCAACTTCCGCAACACCCCACTCATACACCTCTCCAATTTGTCTCTCCGATCATCCCACCACCACTTCCACCCTCTCTCCCCTCTCCCATTCGCCACTTCCGACCAAACCTCAACCTCTCTCGTCTTCGTCGCCGCCCAAACCGGATCCTCCACTTCCTCAACCCCGTTCAAAAACCCCGCATCTCGAAAAAACCCAACAACATCAAAGCTCGCCAAACGAACATCCCCACCACGATCAACGTAAAAAATCGGATTCCCAACAGCATTAGGAGACGAAACTATATAATAATGTCGAAAAACAGGAACTAGCCTCGGTGCACCGTTCAATATCTTTTCCGCGGAAGCTAACGGATCCTCCGGTAGTGGACCCCACGACGGATGCCAAAAACGGTTATCCGAAACACGACGGAGAATGGAAGATACTGGAAGGTTGAGAATAATTTGGAGCTGTTGATGAGACGATGAACGCCAGTTTGGAAAACCAGGAGAGACGGGAAGACCCTGTTGGAGAATTGCACGAAGGTCAGGTGGAAATGTTATGTTGAGATTTGATTCGAGGAATGAGAATTCAGTGTCGGAGAGTCCTTGTTCGATGATAACGTTGGAGGATTTGAGACGGTGTATTAGGTTGTTAGCGTATGTTGTGAATGAGAAACATATTCTTCGTTTGGGTCTAGGTGGTTTTGAAATTGATGATTTTGTTTTGTCATCATCATCATCGTCGTTGGTGATAACGGTGGTTATGGGATCGATCATGGTTGTTGCAGTTGCGTGAGTGACAATGAAAACGAGATCAGTGATTGCTTACTTTACGTAGTGATCACATCACTCTTGTGTTATGTTTTGTTTTGTTTTGTTTTTGAAGAGAATGAGGTGTTGATGCGTTCTTATAATTAAGATTTTGATTTAGAGAGAGAAAGTATGTGAGTGTTTGACTTGGTTTTTTTTCTAATTATGAATAGGATTATAATATTGAATATAAAGTATATTATTTATGAAAAAATTATGGTACATGGTTTTTTGCCGTGTATATAGTTGCTCTAGATAAAATTAAGAAAGAATTTAAATAATTAAATATAAGTGATATAATGTTAAACATTGAACACGAGTAAATATTTAAGAAAAGGAAAGTGTTACCAATGTTATCGATAATATACTCTTTCTAGAATATTGAAATATAAAATATAAAATATTTTTTAAGATAAATATAATATTTACAATCAGAAATGAAATCAGACTACAAACGGAACGAGTTTAAAAGATACAACAGTATTATAAATATTAAAGAAAGCAAACAACACATTAAGCAACTTAAATGTTTTTTTACCACAATACTCCACTTTCCTAATTCAATATCTAAATTATTCTAATTTGTCACATTAATTTCAAACTATCTCAAATAGATATTATTAGTAGGGAGGTTCATGGTACAATTCTATTAAAAAATTGAATTGAATTAAATTGAATTATTATATATGTTTATTTGAACTGAACTAAATTGTTTTAATTTTTTCAGAATCAAATTGAACTAAAAGTTTTGATATGGTATACCGGTTCGGAATTTCAAACTGTACCAAATAATTATAAACCAATTTATTATAAATTGAATCATTTGTTAAAAGGACTAAACTGTTATATTTGATTTTGATTTTGATTTTTTTAATAAAAAATCTATTAAATTTTTTTTTTTAGATTTTTGAAAAAGTCAATTTTTTTTGTATTTTAAAAAAAAATGAATTTTGAATTTTTAAAAAAATTGACTTTATGATTTTAGAAAAAAATCAGGTTTTTTTATTTTCGAAAAAATCGACCTTTTTGAATTCAAAAAAAGATTGAAATTCTTATTTTGGGAAAAATCGTTTTTTTTTTTAAAAAAATCGACCTTTTAATTTTTGAAAAAATCAACTTTTTTTTATTTTTGAAAAAATCGACTTTTTGATTATCGAAAAAATTTACATTTTGATTTTCAAAAAATGCAACTTTTTTTATTTAAAAAAAAACAACTTTTTGATTTTTGAAAAAATATACTTTTTTATTTTTCGAAAAAATCGACTTCTTGATATTTGAAAAAAACGACTTTTTGAATTTCAAAATAAGCAACATTTTAATTTTCAAAAAAAGTGACTTTTTTTTTATTTTTCAAAAAAATTGACTTTATGATTTTCGAAAAAATCGATTTTTTGATTTTCGAAAAAATTGACTTTTTTGTTTTTGGAAAAAGCGACTTTTTGATATTCGAAAAAATCGACTTTATCATTTAAAAATATCGACTTTTTTTCCGAAAAAATTGACTTTTTGATTTTTGAAAAAATCGATTTTTTTAATTTAAAAAAAATCAATTTTAAAACTTAAGTAACAACAATTTAATTCAAGATTATTTTGAGATTGGTTACTTGCTTAACGGTCCAGTCCTAAAATCATTAATAAAATATAAGTTCGATTCACTAACCATTAATAATAATTCGGTTATTTTAACCCCAGTTTAATTCAGTTCGATAGTTCAATACGGTTCGACATTTTTTTTTAAATAACCCTAAATATTACAACATAACTTATAACCGTGAAGATCCATCTGAACCCATTATAAAAATCCTCTTTGATAGAATTTATGTTTGGTTTTGATTTTTTTTTACAATTATAAACTATATAGAATAATGGAGATATTAGCTAGTATTAACTTTGATCTCATTCCCCCAGACCTTTCCGATCTATATTTCATTATGTATTTAATTATTTAGTTTCGATAATTTATAATATTAAATATATAATACTTTAATATTTTGATTTTATATTTTATTTTTTGAAATGTATATAAGAAATTTTTTGAGAATATTTTATTTTATTATCATAACAACTCAAACGATATATATTTAGAATTACTATGTTTAGACTGTTAATATTGATACTTATTCTAGACTGAGCACGCAGGCCTAACGTCGAGCATGATTCTATTTGCCCTCACGTTAATAACAACTCAATTGATGGTCCAATCTTCTGAAATGTAAATCTGGACATATATCGCTCACCTGCCTCTCATCCGGGGACATGCCATCAACGTCTTCCACTCTCTTTGGTGCTGTTACGCCCTTTGTAACTGACGTGGTCAGTCCATTCTCCGAAGATCACAAAGCACGTTGACCCAGGACGAAGACAACATGCTGGTCTTCCCTACCCACGTAGGATTCTGGCAGTCATCCATTGTGGACCATAAAATTCAGTCCACAATAGAGACATTGGTCCAGCGCTGAGGGCACTATAAAAACCCTCTTTCACTAGAGGGCCAAACATTTCATTCTACACACTCTTACTTTGTGTACTTTATCTCTTTTACTCTGAACCTTACTTTGGTATCAGAGTATCTTGCAGGTACACCCATTCCCCCTCCATTTTTTCTAACAACCGTAGAAGCTCAAGTGTTGCAGGCCACTGAAGATGATCCTTTTGATCCTGGTAAGATTAGTGGCGCTGTCTGTGGGAAACTTTTGCTTCCCCGTATTTTTATGACTAAAGACCAAAGCAAACTCATCCTCAAAATCTACCGATCATCGTGGCCACCCAACACAACAACGGTAACGTCGACGAGACTGTTCCCCCGCCTTTATTGATGGCGGCAACCTTAACCACAACGAAACAGCTGGTCACAGACAAGGTGACCATAGAGATAGGCTAACTGCCTCTTCCTCATCTCGCAGTGTGGCCAATAACGACATCCGACAATTTGAGGAGCCTGGAATGTATCAACAAATTCACAAATGCTGACCCCACCATATTGGCCATGTTCGTAGCTGTCAACAAGACCAACTACTTGATCTTCCAATAGAGCGGACGCATTGGAATGCTAGAGAATGGACGCCGATCACGCTCCCCCTCGAGGATATATCGGTGACCTAAATCCCATAGCCCGTCCCCGCGACAACGAGATGCCCGTTCATGTTCTCCCCCACGGAGACACCAACAAAATGAGTCTCGGAGCCTCTCTCCATGACAAACTAGGCGCCGCCCTCGGCTGGAGAGGCCACATCCTGAGGTCATTGAGAAGCGCGATTGCACTCCACCATACAGGAAGTGACGATCCCCAGTTCCCAAGAGAAACAAGGCCAACGAGCAGCCAAACAAGCCGAAGAGTCAATCAAGAAATTCATCGCGACACAACAAAGGTCCTTGGCTCGACTCATCCTCGTCACTCTCATCAATCTAGAGTGATAAAGGCGACTCTCGCAGTCCACTGTCTCGTGCGATAATGGAGACTTCACTTCCCGTCAGGATGGAAAAGCCACCGCCTTTGGCGATCTATGATGGCACGACATACCCAGATGATCGCATCAAGAACATCAATGTGATGCTCAAATACCGTAACATCAGGGGCACCATCAAGTGTAGATTATTCCCCACAACTCTGAGGAAATGTGCCACAGCATGGTACAAAAGCCTCTCCCCTGAGTATGCCACCTCCTGGAGGGATCCAAAGACTCAGTTCATGATAAACTTCACCGCCTCCCGACGACACTCAAAATTTGAGACGTCGCTCGAGGCTATCATCCATGGGAATGATGAACCCCTCCAGGTATATATCGAGCAGTTTAATCGAGAAGCCACCCAAGTCCCCATGACTGACTGCATAAAGAGATAACTACTCGAGAAAGGGATGCGTCCTGATAGTGATTTCAGAAAGGCATTTGGCATTGAGACACCCGTTTGTTAGACGAACTTCTCCTTAAGGCTCAGTCCTACATCCAATACGAGAAGAAAGAGGCCTCCAACAGTGCTCGAGACTCGAGGAATCGAGAAACCACCCAGATCTCGAAGAATGGCGATGTCGTGGTTCCTTGATGAAGCGGTGAGAAAAGAAGAGATGATAAGCCACGTGACTCCCGCGAGCATAGAGGCATGGTTGGCCATTTCACTGAGTATACTCTACTAACCTCTCTTCACGAGTGTATCCTTGCCGAGTGTATCAATGCTGAATTCAAACAGGGTAGAGTTCAAATCCCCATGCCTACACCCCACAAGGTGAACATCAATAAAAACAAGTACTGACATTTCAATAGGAGCCACAACCACGTGAACAAAGACTACATCCACATCAAGAATGCCATTGAGACCCTCATCATAGAGGATCATCTAAGACAATACACAAGGAGGAGAGAGGCTCCCCACAGGACATTCGCGAAGCGAAGAAGATCGAGGAAGAAACACCACCCTCTGAAAATGTCATCAATTTACAGGCCGTCATATGCGTATCTTGACCTGAAGACTTCTACATCCCTGATGAGGCCGGTATGCCCTTATCTACCCACACATGGGAAAAGTTCTCCACCGCCATGGTTATATCCGACGGGGGATCCAACAAGTTCACCGTTGGGTCAGTGAAGAGAAAATTTGAGGAGCTGATTGACGCAAGCTCAACTCAGAACACAACTCTCAATAGGTTCCGGGGAAAATCTCACCCTATCACATTCTATCTTGAAGAGTTACCCAGTGGATCTCCCAACTCCAACATCCCTTTGCTGGAGAGAGCAAAAATGGCAAACTTCGACGTCCTCCGCATTCTGGTCGACCAAGGGAGCTCTGTTGACATTACGTATGCACATCTGTTCACCACGCTCCAGCTCAACCACACTCACTTGACACTGTATATGGGTTCCGACCTACAGGGTTTCAACGGCATGATCACCAGGCCTTGGGGTTACGTCGAGTTGCTCGTCATGTTTGGGGAAGATGAAACGGCCAGACAAATCAAATTTTGTTTCCTGGTC